TGGTACACTGGGCATCGGAGTTATAAAGGCTGTAGACACTTGTATAAAAATAAAATCAAGTTTGTATAAAAATAAGGAGGGAGCGGGTCAGCAAGTGTATCTATTATCAAAGAAATGATGCTCAAGGACATCACTGTTCGCACGTGCTGCCATTCCATTTCTGTCCAAGGTTCATGCAATGCTAATACTGACATTCTTCCTCTTTTAAAAATTGAGGCTAGGTCGGGCGCGGTGGCTCAAGCCTGTAATCCCAGCACTTTGGGAGGCCGAGGCGAGTGGATCTCGAGGTCAAGAGATCGAGACCATCCTGGTCAACATGGTGAAACCCCGTCTCTACTAAAAATACAAAAATTAGCTGGGCATGGTGGTGCGTGCCTGTAATCCCAGCTACTCAGGAGGCTGAGGCAGGAGAATTGCCTGAACCCAGGAGGCGGAGGTTGCGGTGAGCCGAGATCGCGCCATTGCACTCCAGCCTGGGTAACAAGAGCGAAACTCCGTCTCAAAAAAAAAAAAAAAAAAAACTGGGGCTAAATATCATACGATGCTTTTATTCTGATTTTCCCACTTTTTTATTATGATCATAATTTCAATTAAAAATTATTTTTTCAATGATCTGGATAACTACATAATACTGTGTATGGATTTTGGACCATTTTAAACAGTTTTCTAGCCACTAGCACTTGGTGTAATCTTTCCTATTATCAACAATGCCTTGATGAAGTCCAGCTCTCAAACTCTTCGCGCTCATGTCTGATTAGACATATGCATTTTAATGACCTCTGTGCTATGACCAGACTGCTCCCCGTAAAGACGGCACCGAAGGCAGCCATCACAAGCGCTTTTTGTTGCCACTCTGCCCAACTCTACTGTACTTTGTGAAATATCTTTGCTACCATAGAAGATGACATATTGGATTTTTCTTCTAATTTCTGTCTCTTTAATTATAGGTTAGGAGAAATGTGTGTGTGGTGGGGGTACAGACCATTTGGATTTTTTCCTTCATGCACTTTCTGTTTTTGAACTTGGGCATGTTCTTTATATATTGAGGGAATCGATTCGTTTTTAATTAGAAATGTAAATATTCCCCAGTTTGAAGAAAGATATTGTGACATTTTATCTATCAGTATTTTTCAACTGGTCTTTCTCTTCAATTATAGGTTTACAAAGAACTGTTTCCTTCCCCAAATTAAATATTAACCTCGTTTTATCTCTGCTTTTTTGTTGTTTCTTTTTCTATATTTAATATCTCAACCTATCTGAAATCTGTTTTTTGAGAAAGTATGTAAATGACATGTAACTTTAAAAAGTATTTGTGGGTTCCACTAGATACCTAAATATTTCTTAACTGCAGAAGCTCTTTGCTGCATAGAATTAGGTATTTAGTCAACATAAAAACAATTATTTCATTTTCTTATTATGTTCTGAGCCAGGTTTTGCATAAGACCAGTGGGAGTCATATCCTAAATCAAGCCCAGATGATGTAAGAAGTGTGAAGTGTAGAATTAACTCAGAATTTCCTTTACTTGGTCAGCAATCGAGCAACTTAGCGAAGTAGGGAGGAAGGGAAGAGCTTCATGAAAGGCAAGGGTAGTGATGTGTTTTTGCTTTTGTTTTTTATTGTACTAAAATATTTCTGTACTGGCACAATGTCTTTCTTTTTTCCTTTTTTGTTTTTGTTTTTTGGCCTGGCAGGTTTTTCTTCTTCTATAGCCAGCCCTGATAGAGCCTCTGTTTGCCTAGAATAAAGAGCTAAGCCAGGTGTAAACAGGTGATAAGTGCCTCCATGACCTCCAGGCTTGATGTATCCAGAAGCAGAATTACTTTCCAGAGTCCCTAGTGGGATTCAGATTTTCTCCAGAATTCTAACTTCTTCATGTTCCCTAACCCTCATGCTTCCCCAGACATCATTCACACAGGCACACGCAGCCCCCTCGATCCTTCAAATAACATTGTTCAGAAATACCTGTATCATTCTGCCAGATTTCCCTTTGTTTCCCTGGTCCACTTTTCATGAGAAGAGTCACAGCTCATACCTCAATTCAACTTTGTTTTGAATAAATGGATCCAGAAGAAATGCTTTACAATTCTTGATAATGGGTTTCTCTTCTTTCATTTCAAAGAATTTTTTTTTTCTGTTTTTATGTTCAATTGATACATGTATTTAAAAATCCATAAGTGAGTGAGTTAAATGCCTGTCACATAGTCATCATATTATTACCTGAAAGACAGGATATCACTGACATATTCACCACACTGTTAATGTGTAACTAGCATTTTTTTTGTGCTAAACACATGCACGTTAGAAAACAGGGCTGAAGGAATCCTAAGCACAAATCCATCATCACGTTTGCAGGTGTTATTTCAACAGCACTGAAAGGGCCAAAGCATTCGAGTATTATTTCACTTGCTGTCAGCAGTATCAACAGCATAAAGGAAACTAGGGTCAAAATATGAATTGTCTTCCTGGCACACACGGAAGGCACAGCCTTTCTCTGTCAGTGGCCATGCATTTCATTCATACTTTCAGTAAAAGGATGTAAACTTTCGTTTAAAAAGCCAGTTGATGGAGCAATATCTGATTTTACTGAGACCGTAATGATGGAAAAAGCCATTCCTTCTTGATGCTATTCCTGGGGTTTCTGCTGCACACCTCTTCAATAATTGTGTATGGCAATAACAAGTCAGTGGCTGTGTGGGATCACTGGCTCCTCCTCACTGCATTTGTGGGGAGTCAATCTGAGAATTACTGAGATCGAACAAAAGCCACAGTGACTGCAAGACTAGGCCCACATTGATCTGGTAGAAATAGGATGGAGCTGTCAGGTCCAGGCAGAATGCATCCCGCTCCTGGTGAGAGAATTCTTTCCACAGAAAAGGGAAATAATTATTCTCTCCGAGGAAACACTTGAAACAAAAATACACACGCTCACAACAGATTCTAATGGAATCTTGAACATGGAACAGAAAGAACTTTTTTCTTATTTTCTTTTTTTCCTCTTCTTTGTTACATCTTTTTGTAGTTCTTGCTTGGGAAGCATTACGCTGGCGTTCTCTCTGGGTCCTTCTGTGTCTGTCAGTCTATCTGGGCATTTTTAGTTTTTAATCAGCGTATTCACATTTGCACGTCCGGTTTAAAAGGCTTCAGTTGAAACAGAAAGAGGCAGATGCATTTGGTGCATATGAAGGAGGCAGCAATTTCGCTAGAAAACCCGAAACACCCAATCCAGATCCAGCTGTAACCAAACATGTATGGAAAGCAGCGTACAGAATTTTCCATGGCCCGCGGCAGCGATGTTATTCCAACAGTCCCTGAGGTGTCTCCGCAGCTACACATGCCGTGGAAAGAAATTAGATATCAATGCTAAAGACCTACCAGATGGATATTCAATCAGTGCTTTTGTATAAAATTCTCTCTCTAAATTGAATATTGAAGAAATAGCTACATTTAACTTACAAAATTAACATCTTTGTTTTCCAGCACTCCTCCCTGACATGAATGCTCAGCGCTGAGAATACTAAGGACGGAGCGCCTGTTATATACAGTTACAGGACAAATGAAAATAAGCACTAAGGACAGCTCGAAAATAATTGGCCTACAGCAAGTAGAAAGCAGATTATGAGAAAATGCACAAATGAACAATTATTTTAAATGCCCTCAATTCAACATCTGAGATAATAAATTGCCTTTCTAATAAGAAACATATATATATATATATATATATATTTTTTTTTTTTTTTTTTTTGACAGAGGCTCACCATTATCGGCCAGGATGTAGTTCCATGGCACGATCTCGGCACTCTGCAACCTCAGCCTCCCAGGTTCCAGCAATTCTCCTGCCTCCACCTCCCGAGTAGCTGAGACTACAGGTGCCCACCACCAGGCCCAGCTAGTTTTTTTGTATGTTTAGTAGAGACGTGCTTGTCTCAAAGTCCTGACCTCAGGTGATCCACCAGCTTTTATCTCCCAAAGTGCTGGGATTACAGGCATGGCCACCAAGCCTGGCCAGACTTTTTGCTTTTTTTTTTAAGTCATTTTCTACTTGCAGAATGCTGCAACTTTCTTCTTAATGTTGCCTTCCAGATAAAAACTCCTAAACTTTATGCATCTCTTTGCACTAAATCCTGACTTTTCCCTTTCATTTCTAAATCCCTTCATACCGAGTCTCCATCTTACCCAGATAAACTCTTTTATTTTTATTTTTTCTAAGACAGAGTTTTGCTCTTGTTGCCCAAGCTGGAGTCCAATGGTGCAATCTTGGATCACTGCAAACTCTGCCTCCTGGGTTCAAGTGATTCTCCTGCCTCAGCCTCCCAAGTAGCTGGGATTACAGGTGCATGGCAACACATTTGGCAAATTTTTTGTATTTTTAGTAGAGAGAGGGTTTCACCATGTTGGCCAGGCTGGTCTCAAACTCCTGACCCCATGATCCTGCCATCTCTGCCTCCCAAAGTACTAGGATGACAGGCATGGGCCACTGTGCCTGGTGCCAGATAAACATGTATTTCTATCAGTCTGTACTCCGCTGTGTACTACATGTGTTATTATCAGTATTGCTAGACATGGTTTCCCTAAAAATTCACTCTTTCACCTCAGCACATTCAAAGTTTGCCCCGTCTTAGAGACCTTTTAACTACTCCAAGGCTCCGTGATGGCTTTTCTGAGGTCTGCCACCATAGAAACAGTTCTGGTATTTTTGGGGGCTGAGGACTAGGGTAAGGCATCCTCAATTTAGAAAATGCAAGATGGCAGAGGTGAGGAAATAGCCAGTTTAAAATGGGTAAAAATAGGCTGTTAAAAATGTAGGGATAGAGTTAGTATGATACGAGGAATACAGTTAGTGTAGATGCTATATTAAGCAAACCGTGGAAGATCTGTGACCAGTGAAGAGGCTGAGGCATCTGTATTGTGCTGGAGTTCAAAGAGCAGGATGGATGAAGAGGAATAAAGGTGAGTTTCTATGCCCAAAGTGCTGATCAGAAGAAGTTATTCTGACACCTACCTCTTTTATTTCACCGTTGGTTGGAATGAGCCATGATGACAGTGGGCACCGAATATTCATTCACTTACTCTGGCTGCAGTCCACACACGGGTGTGTGGATGAGGATGAGACTGTGTAAGGCTATGCCTAGAAGAAATTCAGAAGAAACAAGAATCTATAAAGAGGGGGGGTTTCAAATGGAATACTCTTGAAATAGGGCTTCTGTGACCTTACTGGCCCCAAGTAATAATGGTTTCACATGATGGCTCGGACTATAACCTCACGGGCAAGCAAATCAGAATGGCTCCCATTTATACATGCCCATACTGGGAAACAAAACGGGTATCGGGGATGAGATCTATCTACGTTGAATCAGGAGTGCCAAATCATAAGCACTACCTTGTAAGCATTACAGCATTTTGGGCATAGTCTCCAACAGACTAAACTCTGAAAACTCTACTTTATTCCTCTTCTGCCACCCTACTCTCTGAACTCCAGCACAATACAGATGCCTCAGACTCTTCGTTGGTCACAAATCTCCTGTGGTTTTCTTAATATAGCATCTACACTAACTGCATTCCTAGTATCTGTACTAATTCTTAGCTAACAACAGCTATCAGTTAACCATACATCTTCATTTGCTCTGGGCAGTTCCAGTTCATGCCTTTGGTCACTGTGTAATGTTGCTAATACCCTTGTATCCCCAAAGTTATTTCTATTTGCAAGACAAATAATGTGACCACATTACCAATCCTTGCTGAGCACTGATTACACTGGTAATGTTCTGAATGTTTTATGAGTTGATTTCTTTGAACGGCACAACAGCCTTATTAGATAGGTAGTAAAATCATTTTTACATTTCACATGAGGAAACAGGAGCCTGTGGATTACCTTTCGGATGGTCATACACCGTAGAGGTTAAGGCAGCTGTATAGGGCACCAGCTAGAGAATTCATATAGATTTTGCCAAATTCTACCAAATAATTATTGAGAATACATTTTGAATTATGTTAAATGTTTAGTAGGGAGTTAGGGTGCTTGGAGATTTTTCCCCAAAGTTAAGCAGATCTAACTATTTAAATAAATGACATCCATTGATTTATAAATAAAGACCTCTATCATACTCCCACAGGAAGACCACCTGGAGGAGGCTGGGGTGGAGATGGAGTGAGTGGTTTCAGCTTCTAAAAGGAGCTGGAGCAGGAGTAAAAGTAGGTTCACCTCTAGAGCCCACCAACATAACTGCACTACTTTCTGGCATCCTAAAGAGTGTCTTACAGATCTTACGTGTCCTACAGGTGCTAGAAAAGGAAAATGTTCAGAATGTGGGAGAAGTAGACAGTGAAAAATATAATTGCCCTGTAGTAATTTGTGTTAAGCAAAGAAATATGGTGAATTAATATCTATACACTTCTGAATTTAGTAGCTATTTGTAAGATATTAGCAATGGAGTTGTTCCTTTGGGTACTGTAACTGGCTCTCATAAACCTACTTATGAGATGTGTACTCATAGGTGTTCAATAAATTCTTTATTGGAATGATTTTTGGAAGTGATTAAATTTATATGCACACATATCCATGAATAATCTTGCCATAACAAATTTGCTTTTAGAAAATTATAAAGATTTAACAGCTCAATTTTAATGAGTAGCACACTGGGTGAATGACATTTGTTAAAGCAACTGTCAATGACATTTAATCATTTGGGGGTCCCAAAACCATGACTACTCTATTCAAGTTTGTTCTTGTCCTGAAAGTTTACAATTTTCTAGGTCACAGTCATTCTATTTATATAAAATTGTCAATCTTTGTTAATGAGTACACTCAAAGTTTATACATCATCATGGCATTTCTCAGTAAGTTTTGCTTTTCCTCCAGAATGGTCTGTAATTTGTTGACTGCCTGCTTTACTTAATGCCAGAGAAGCTATTTCCATATTTCTGCTATATGCTGCAAATTTCAACTCTTACTTCAATATTCTGTGTTTATTTCTTTATTTATTATTTTTCTGACCTATTGCATCTGTGTTCTATTCCTGTGGAAGTAGAGTCCACAGTTTTGTCAGAATAGTAATTTTCTGAAGAGGGTAAAAAGTCAACAGTGGATTTAACCAGTGCAGGGGCAAGGGGATCATAAATGCCATTGCAATTTCTATGTAATAGCATAACCATTAACCTTGTTTCCAAGAAATCAGGAACACCAGCCTGGTGCAGTGGCTCATGACTGGAATCCCAGCACTTTGGGAGGCCAAGGCAAGCACATCACTTGAGGTCAGGAGTTTGAGACCAGCCTGGCCAACATGGCAAAATGCTGTCTCTACTAAAAATATAAAAATTAGCCAGGCATGGTGGCACACACCTGTAATCCAAGCTACTCAGGAGGCCGAGGCAGGAGAATTGCTTGAACCTGGAAGGTAGATGTTACAGTGAGCAGAGATTGCACCACTGCACTCCAGCCTGGGCAACAGAGTGATACTATGTCTCAAAAAAAAAAAAAAAAAAAGAAAGAAATGGAAAAAAAAATTCAGAAAGACCTGTAACAATGTAGTCTTAATTAACAATGATTTATCTTCTGTTGATTATAGTGGTTATAAATGAGCATTTATACCTATCAACCTAATGCTTTATTAGGAAAGCATTCTATTTACTGTCATTTTATTATTAAATACCATTCTATTTATTTTCAATGCATGAGGTAACAATAACATTCTTGTTTCCTCAACTCCAGCATTGAGAGCACACTTCCTACTTCGTCATGTCTTTAATGTGAAGATACGATGATCTACAGTACATTATACTAGAAATGACTGCCATGCCAACACCCATCCCTCTACTTCTGTTAATGCTCCAACTCTCCTTCAGGTGTCACTTCCCATTCATGAAGTAATATATATGCTTCAAAGAAAGCGTATATACCCTCAGCCTCAAAATTGTATCCTGGTTGACCCACATAAATGCGGGCAACCCAGTATCCCTGACTACCACAGTAGATTCAAGTTGGTAGCATCAATGTAGCCATTAGGGCTTTTGTTTTATACTGCTAAAAAGTGAAAACTTTTTTCAAGATTCTTAGCTTCCTTGCATTGGGTTAGAACATGCTCCTTTAGCTCAGAGAAGTTTGTTATTACCCACCTTCTGAAGCCTGCTTCTCTCAATTAGTCAAACTCATTCTCCATCCAGTCTTTTTCCCTTGCTGGCAAAGAGCAGTGATCCCTTGAAGAGAAGAGGTGTTCTGGTTTTTGGAATTTTAAGCCTTTTTGTGCTGGTTTCTTCCCATCTTTGTGGATTTATCTACCTTTGGTCTTTGAAGTTGGTGACCTTTGGAGGAGGTCTCTGAGTGGACATCCTTTCTGTTGATGTTGAACTATTTCTTACTGTTTGTTAGTTTTCCTTCTAACAGTCAGGCCACTCTGTTGCAGGTCCGCGGTTAGTCAGAATGCCACCTAGAATAACCAGTGTAGAGAAAATCATAAACAACCTGATGGAGCTGAAAAACAGAGCATGAGAATTTCATGAAGCATATACAAGTTTCAATACCCAAATCAATCAAGCAGAAGAAAGGATATCAGAGATTGAACATTAACTCAATGAAATAAAGCAAGAAGGCAAGAATAGAGAAAAAAGAGGAAAAAGAAATGAAAACAAAGCCTCCAAGAAATATGGAATTATGTGAAAAGATCAAATCTACATTTGATCGGTGTACCTGAATGTGACAGGGAGAATGAAACCAAGTTGGGAAATACTCTTCAGGTTATTTTCCAGGAGAACTTCCCAAACCTAGCAAGGCAGGCCCACATTCAAATTCAGGAAATACAGAGAACACCACAAAGATACTCCTAGAGAAGAGCAACCCCAAGACACATAATCGTCAGATTCACCAGGGTTGACATGAAGGGAAAAATGCTAAGGGCACCAGAGAGAAAGGTGGGGTTACTCACAAAGGGAAGCCCATCAGACTCACAATGGATCTCTTGGCAGAAAACCTACAAATCATAAGAGCGTGGGGACCAACATTCAACATCCTTAAAGAAAAAATTTTCAACCCAGAATTTTATATCCAGCCAAATTAAGCTGCATAAGTCAAGGAGAAATAAAATCCTTTATGGACAAGCAACTGAGAAGATATTTTGTCACCATCAGGCTTGCCTTACAAGAGCTCTTGAAGGAAGCACTTAACATTTAAAGGAACAAGCAGTACCAGCCATTGCAAAACCATACCAAATCATAAAGACCATCAACACTAGGAAGAATCTGCATTAACTAACAGGCAATACAACTAGCTAGCATCAAAATGGCAGGATCAAATTCACACATAACAGTATTAACCTTAAATGTAAATGGGCTAAATGCCCCAATCAAAAGAAACAGACTGGCAAATTGGATAGAGTCAAGACCCATCAGTGTGCTATATTCAGAAAACCCATCTTACATGAAAAGACATATATAGTCTCAAAATAAAGGGATAGAGGAAGATTTACTAAGCAAATGGAGAGCAAAAAAAAAAAAAAAGGAAGGGGTTGCAATCCTAGTTTCTGAAAAAACAGACTTTAAACCAACAATGATCAAAAGAGACAAAGAATGGCATTATATAATGGTAAAGGGATCAATGCAACAAGAAGAGCTATCACATATATATAATATATATATTTCATATATAAAAATGCATATATTTTGTATCTTATATATGCGTATATATATATACACATACATACATATATAAATAAATGCACCCAATTTAGGAGTATCCAGATACATAAAGCAAGTTCTTAATGTCCTACAAAGACACTTAGACTCCCAAAAAATAATAGTGGAAGACTTTAACACCCCACTGTCAATATTAGATAGATCAATGACACAGAAAATTAACAAGGATATCCAGGACTTGAATATACATTATTCTCAGCACCACATCACACTTACTCTAAAATTGACCACATAATCGGAAGTAAAATACTCCTCAGCAAATGCAAAAGAACGGAAATCAGAACAAACAGTGTCTCAGACCACAGTGTAATCAAATTACAACTCAAGATTAAAAAAAGTCACTTAAACTGCACAACTACATGGAAAGTGAACAACCTGCTCCTGATTTACTACTGTTTAAATAATGAAGTGAAGGCGGAAATAAAGATGTTCTTTGAAACCAGTGAGAATGAAGATACAACATACCAGAATCTCTGGGTCACATTTAAAGCAGTGTGTAGAGAGAAATTTATGGTACTATATTCCTACAAAGGAAATGAGGAAAGATTTAAAAAAAAAATCAATACCCTAACATCCTGATTAAAAGAACTAGAGGAACAAGATCAAACAAATTCAAAAGCTAGAGGATGACAAGAAATAACTATGAGTAGGAAAGAACTGAAGGAGACAGAGATACAAGACAACCTTTCAAAAAAGCCAAATAATTCAGGAGGTGGTTTTTACAAAACACCATCAAAATAGATAGACCGCTAGCCAGACTGATAAAGAATATGAGAAAAGAATCAAATAGATGCAATAAAAAATGATAAAGGAATATCACCACCAATCCCACAGAAATAGAAACTACCATCAGAGAATACTATAAATACCTCTATGTAAATATGCCAGAAAATCTACAAGAAATGGATAAATTCCTGGACAATTACACCCTCCAAAGACTAAACAAGGAAGAAGTTGAATCCCTGAATAGACCAATAAAAAGGTCTGAAATTGAGGAAGCATTTAATAGCCTACCAACCAAAAAAAGTCCAGGACCAGATGAGTTCACAGCCAAATTCTACCAGATGTACAAAGAGGAGCTGGTACCATTCCTTCTGAAACTATTCCCAACAAATATAAAAATAGGGAATTATCTCTAACTCATTTTATGAGACCAACATCATCCTGATACCAAAACCTGGCAGAGACAATACTAAAAAGGAAAATTTCAGGCCAAAATCCAGGATGAACATTGATGCAAAAATCTTCAATTAAATACTGGCAAACTGAATCCAACAGCACATCAAAAAGCTTATCCATCATGATCAAGTTGGCTTCCTCCCTAGGATGTAAGGCTGGTTCAACATATGAAAATCAATAAATGTAATCCATCACATAAACAAAACCAAAGACAAAAACCACATGATTATCTCAATAGATGTAGAGAAGGCTTTTGACAAAATTCAACAGCTCTTTATGCTAAAAACTCAATAAACTCAGTATCAATGGAACATATCTCAAAAATAATAAGAGCTATTTAAGAAAATCCCACAGCCAATATCATACTGAATGCACAAAAATTGCAAACATTTCCTTTGAAAATAATCACAAGACAAGGGTTCCCTCTCTCACCACTCCTGTTCAATATAGTATTAGAAGTTCTGGCCAGGGCAATCAGACAAGAAAAAGACAAAAAGAATATTCAGTTAGGAAAATAGGAAATCAGATTGTCTCTATTTGCAGATGACATGATTATATATTTAGAAAACTCCATTGTCTTAGCCCAAAATCTCCTTAAGATGACAAGCAACTTCAGCAAAGTCTCAGGATACAAAATCGATGTGCAAAATCACAAGCATTCCTGTACACCAATAACAGACAACAGAGAGCCAAATCATGAGTGAACTCCCATTCACAATTGCTACAAAGAGAATAAAATACCTAGGAATACATCAAACAAGAGATGTGAAGGACCTCTTCAAGAACTACAAACCACTGCACAACGAAATAAGAGAGGACACAAACAGATGGAAAAACATTTCATGCTCATGGGTAGGAAGAATTAATATTGTGGAAATGGCCATACTGTCCAAAGGAATTCATGGATTCAGTGCTATCCCCACCAAAATACCACTGACTTTCTTCACAGAATTGGGAAAACACACCTTAAATTTCATATGGAAACAAATAAGAAACAGCATAGTGAAGACAATTCTAAGCAAAAACAAAACAAAGCAATCTGGAGACATCATGTTACCTGACTTGAAACTATACTATAAGGCTACAGTAAACAAAACAGCATGATACTGGGACCAAAACAGAGATATAGACCAATGGAACAGAGCAGAGGCCTCAGAAATAATGTCACACATCTACAATCATCTGATTTTTGACAAACCTGACAAAAACAAGTAATGGGGAAACAATTCCCTATTTAATAAATCGTGTTGGGAAAATTGGCTAGCCATATGCAGAAAGCTTAAACTGGATCCCTTCCTTACATCTTATACAAAAATTAACTCCAGATGGATTAAATATTTAAACACAAGACCTAAACCATAAAAACCCTAGAAGAAAACCTAGGCAGTACCACTCAGGACACAGGCATGGGCAAGGACTTTCTGACTAAGACACCAAAGCAATGGCAACAAAAGCCAAAATAGACAAATGGGATCTAATTAAACTAAAGTGCTTCTGCACAGCAAAAGAAACTATCATTAGAGTGAACCAGCAACCAACACAATGGGAAAAAGTTTTGCAATCTACCCATCTGACAAAGGGCTAATATCCAGAATCTACAAAGAACTGAAACAAATTAACAAGAAAAACAAACAAACAAATAAAACATCAAAAAGTGGGTGAAGGACATGAACAGACATTTTTTCAAAAGCAGACATTTATGCAGCCTACAAACATATTAAAGAAAGCTCATCATCACTGGTCATTAGAGAAATGCAAATAGAAATGATATTGAGATACCATCTCATGCCAGTTAGAATGGCAATCATTAAAAAACCTGGAGACACCATGCTGCAGAGGAGAAATGGGAATGGTTTTACACTGCTGATGGGAGTGTAAATTAGTTGAACTATTGTGGAAGACAGTGTGGCAATTCCCCAAGGATCTAGAAATGGAAATACCATTTGGCCCAGCAATCCCATTACTGGGTATATACCAAATAATCAAAATGAACTGCTGGAAGTGCTAGAATATACGGGATTGTTTATCCCAGTCAGAGTGCAAATGTCACACAAAGCACATTGGGTTTTGAATTGAGGCCCCAGAAAGGCAAACATTATGAGTAAGGATTACAGCCTAAAGTAGGATATCCATCTTGTACTAAGGAACATATAGCTAAACATGGCCAACAAAATAATAAAACCCATTCTGACTAGATCAAGAATATTCATCAGTTATGTAACTGTTGGTCAGAGTAAAAATCAACCCTTCGCAAAGAAAACAGCACAATGCAGACTCCCTCTAATTCATGTTTACAATAGTCAGAATTAAATTTTACAAATTACTTGACTTATAAAGAAGTTCAGAAATATTACTACTAATCAAGACAAAAAATGATTTAATAACAACAGATTATTGAGACTTCTGAAATAATGAACAAACATTACAAAACAGTTCTTATAAATCAAACATTTAAAGGAAAAGTGAACATGTATAAATAAATGATGAGTAACAGCAGAGAAAAGGAAACTCTAAACAAAATTAAAAATAAAAATTCTAGAGCTGAAAAAAGTTATAATGTCTGAAAAGAAAAATGCACTGA